TAGAAAGACGTGGTGTCCAGCTTCCAAAGAGGTGATAGGGCGGAGCAAGCAGCAGCTGTTGGAACGATGACAAAGAGGGTTTGTGCTTTCCTCCTTTCCTGTGTGACCCCATGCGGGCCCCCTCTCCTTCCTTAGCACGAGAGGTGCTGAGGTGGCACGAGAGTTTGCGTGTAATTTGGAGCTTGGGCAGACAGTCTAGATCTTTCAGGGAACACAGATGGGGCAAACTTCCTGGACTGCCATCACTGCCCCCTCCCCAGTAAAACTGCTGGTTGTAAGATAAAAACATTTTCAATTTTATTAGATAGTGTGTGCCAACTTGCTCTCCAAAGCCGTCCTTGCCTACTCTTGATACTTTTACATCTGAATTTTTTGCTAGTCTTTTATGGGTGAAAAGTGCTATCTCTGCCTTGATTTTGGAGGGTTTTTTTTTTTTTTTAAAGATTTTATTTACTTATTTGAGAGAGTGAGAGAGACCACAAGCAGGGGGAGCGGCAGGCAGAGGGAGAAGCAGACTCCCTGCTGAGCAGGGAGCCTGATGTGAAGCTTGATCCCAGGACTCTGGGATCATGACCTGAGCCGAAGGCAGACACTTAAACCACTGAGCCACCCAGGCACCCCGATTTAGACTTTTCTCATTACCAGTGGAGTTGAGCTTTTTTTTCCCATTAAAATTTTTTTCCAATTAGTGTATTGGCTGTTTGCATTCTTTCCTCTGAGAACTATATAGTCATCACCTGTGCATGTTTTTATTGGGTGTTTGCTGTTTTCTTATTGATTTGTAAGTTGTAAAAAAGTATATATTTGGATATGAATTCTTAGTTTGTTCTATGTAGGGCAAAGACTTTCTCCAGTCCGTGACTTCTCTCTTAATTCTGTTTATGGCATCTTTCGAAAAATTGGAAGTTTTGCATTTGACAGAATTAAACATTCTCCCTTATCACTCATGCTTTTGGTGTCACGGTTAAGAGAACCTTACTACCCTGAAGTCACAAATATATTCTTATACTTTTTTACTAATAATTTTAAGATATTTTTCTTCTTTCCCGTTTGGATCTTTGATCAATCTGATGTTGATTTTGGGGGTATGAATCTAATTTAACTTTTCTTGTTTTTATTGAAGTATAATTAACATAGAGTGTTAATGTCAGGTGTATGGTGTAGTGATCCAACAATTCTTTGCATGACTCAGTGCTCATCACAATGAGTGTACTACTTTAACTTTTCAATATGAAAAGTCAACTGCCCTAATACTATTTATTGGGTGACTCATCAGTTCTCCACTGGTTGGTACAGCCATCCTATCATATCCCAAGTTACCACATATATACGGGTCAATTTCTGGGCTCTCTTTCTGATTCATTGATTTTTTTATCAATTCTTTTGATAAACTTTCAAAAACCATTTTATTGAGGTATAATTAATATACAATATGCTGAATGTATTTAGTTTTTAATTTCATGAGCTCTCTGTATTTATATATTCTAGTTTTTTTCATTGATTTAATATTTATTTTTGAGTATAGTGAACATGAAATGTTACATTAGTTCCAGGTGTATGACACAGTGATTCAACAAGTTTATACATTGTGTCGTGCTCACCACAAGTGTGGATAGCTACCATCTGTCCCCATGCACTGGTGTTACAATATCATTAACTATATCCCCCATGTTGTGTCTTTTATTCCTGTGACTTTTTCATTCCATAACTGGGAGCCTGTATCTTCCACTCCAATTCACCCATTTTGCCCCTCCCCTCACTCACCTCTTCTCTGTCGACCACTGGTTTGTTCTCCGTATTTATAGGTTTTAGCTTCTTGACCTGAATATTTATCTCATTAATTTGTGCATTTTTTTTTAAATATGCTTCCTGTTTTAGCTACATCCAATAAGTGTTGATGGGTAGTTCTTTTGTTGTTCATTCTAAGTACTTGGGAACTTTCATGTGAGTTTTTCCTTTTCCAAGATTTTTTAAAGAAATCTGCTCTCTAATTTCCAAGGATATTTTTGTTTTTTGATTAAAAAATGTATTGGTTCCAATTGTATTGCATTATGATCACAGAACCTGGTTTTCATGGTACAAATATTTTGGAGTGTGTTGAGAATTGCTTTGTTTTCATAAAATATTGTATATTATCTGTTTACTGGGATGTATATCAATCTGATTGCATTGCTTGAATCATTTGTGCTCTTATTATGCTTGATGTAACAGTTTCTGATGGCAATATGTTTAAAAAGAAACCTCATTATGGTTGTGGATTTGTCAATTTCTCTTTCTAATTCTGGTAATTTTTGGCATGATATTTGAAGGGAATTTTGTTAGGTGAAGCAAATTAATGATTTTATATCTTATTGGTTATTTTCCCCTTTAATTATTAAGTAATGTCTGTATCTTCATGAATATATTTTTCTTTAATTTTATTTGACTAAATACTACTAAATTGGCTTTGTTTTCAACTTTTTAAAAAGACTTTATTTATTTGTCAGAGAAAGAGAGTGAGTGAGAGAGCACAAGCAAGGGGAGCAGCAGGCAGAGGGAGAAGCAGACTCCCTGCTGAGCAAGGAGCCCAACACAGGACTCAATCCCAGAATCCTAGGATCATGACAAGAGCCAAAGGCAGATGCTCAACTGACTGAGTCACCCAGGTGTCCCCATTTTCAACCTTTTAATGTCACTTTCTTTCTTTCTTTTTTTTTTTTTTAAAGTAGGCTCCACACCTAGCATGGAGCCCAATGCAGGGCTTGAACTCACCACCATGAGTTCAAGACCTGAGCCAAGATCAAGAGTTGGATGCTCAACTGACTGAGCCACCCAGGCACCCCTTAACATTAAATTTTTATAAAAAGATTTATTGATTTATTTGATAGAGAGAAAGACAATGAGAGAGGGAACACAAGCAGGGGAAGTAGGAGAGGGAGAAGCAGGCTTCCTGAGGAGCAGGGTGTGACTCAGGGCTCGATTCCAGGACCCTGGGCTCATGACCGGAGCCGAAGGCAGACACTTAATGACTGAGCCATCCAGGCACCCCTAATGTCAAAATTTTCAGTGAAAGACTAGATAGTCAAAAAATAAAGAAATAAATCTGGGAGTTTGTCTTTTAATTGGTTAATCAAAGGCATTTATATTTATTGTAGTTACTATATATTTAGACTTCTATCATTGCATTTTGTAACTACTATGTTTTTCTTTGGTTCTTATTTTTTCTTTACCCTATTTTGTTGAAGTAAAAGATATATTTTTCTTTCCTTTTCTTCTTTCTTTTCTCTCTCTCTTTTAACAGTTTCTCTCTTGTTCCTATACTGGTTTGGAAATTATGCATTCTAATTATATATGTATACATACTTCTTATTTTAATATTTCTAACAATATATAAAGTTAATAAATATCTCTTTCCTACTCTTGAAAAGACAGTGACTTTAGAACACTTTGACTTCTCTTTAAATTCACTTGCCATCTGGGGCTCCTGGCTGGCTGAGTTGGTAGAGCCTGTGACTCTTGATCTCAGGGTCATGAGTTTGAGCCCCAAATTGGGCATGGAAAGTCCCACCTTTGTCATCTCAAAATGAGTTATTATCTTTATTTTTGAGATGGAGGGTTCTTTTTAGATTCTTCAAGTCTTTTGTTGTTGTTTGTGTGGGGTCATCATTGCTTTAAGCACTCTTCTCCTTTCTGGGCTAAATGTTTTTCTTGATGAAGTAAGAGCTGTGGTTACTCTCTGTGGGCCAGGCTGTGCTCTAAGTGTGGTCATGGTCATGGTCACAGTCAGCGCTGGCTCTCCATCCCCACAGTAGCTCCAGATGCTAGGTGCTTGCCAAAGGGCATTTGCCTGTCCCTCTATTTCCCCATTTACAACCTGAGCTCTGTCTCTTTGTGCAGGTTCCTTCCTTGTTTTTCTTCTAATGTCCAGGTTTCTGTGTGTTCAAAGCAGGAAGCATGAGGGAGAGGGATCTCCAGCAGAAACCCAAGCATTATTCTCAGAGAGAACTTTGGGTAGCAGCCAGACATCAGTGGCTTTGTTGTATGCAGAGAAAGTTCTGTGGATGGGCTACAGTCTCTGTGAGTTAGTTCTTCCTTTTTTTTATTTAGCTATGTGAGCTCATTTATAATGGAAACAAGTGAGAGTATTGTGGGATTTAAGACTGGAATCAGTGGTTCCTACATCAATTCATACAGTTTTTCTGGGTGGTTTTTAGGAATAAACACAATATTTAATCAGAGGATATTAGTTCTGCTCCTCATCACCCACAAATGAAATGTGGTAATTCAGTTTACTGGTTAAGTACTGTCAGAAAACAAAATTCAACTGAGTAAAATTTAAAGATCTTATCAGCTTTAGTCAGTAATTCATGGATAAGGCAGCATCTAATCTAGCAGATAGGTGCTCTGAAGAGCTGTACAAGGCAAGAGATTTTATAGGCAGAAGGGAGTAGGAACAAGGAGGTGGTACTAGGCAAAAAAGCAGATTGGTTATTGTGAGGTTACTTTCCTTTAGGGGATGGAAGGGTAATCCAGCAGATTACCTAACTAATGTCAATCCAGCAATTCCTGATGACTAGTTTAAAAGTCCATTTCTATGAGAGCCGAAACTGTCATTTACTCCCACGTTGGTGATGTGCGAGTTAGCATATGTGACTCCAATTTGGGTCCTGTTGTCTTTAACAGTACTTCTGAATACTATTATTAAATACAGGAGACGTAGATCCTGGAATACACTCATATCCCAGTGCCACCTTGAGGAAGGAATTTAAATTGAGAGGCAAGCTACGTGTATTTATGTCCATCTTAGTCACCTACATATATATCATTTTTGCCTTTCACATGTATTTCTTCTTCTGTAAAATAAGGGCACCCATAGCATAGGTATGTGAAGATTTCTCACAACCAGAGTCACTAACTGGTAAGAATTTTAAGGAAGGCTTGCTACCATTTTTAATGAAGACTGTACTGTAGGCAAAATGCAAACTTACTGATTAAGAGTGAACACAGTTTTTGCTTAACAGCATAGAAAGCCATTGAAAAATAAAAATGACTGGTCATCTCAGTTGCTGAGCTGCCTTTAACATCAGAATATTTCCCACTCTGTAGGTAAGTCTGGCTCACAGCTATCTACCATGTCTTCCTAATCTTGGACTTCCCTTGCCCGGTAAGCATATTGCTTGTCCTCTAAAGTGAGATGTGAATTTTCTCGCCATTTAGAGACAGTGACAATAAAAATCACCACCAGGTATTGAGCGCTGTCTTTCAATCAGCAAAATATACTATGATGCACTGAAAATTTGCATCCTCCTCCAAGCGCTTGCCCCCCTCCAAATTCATATGTTGAAGGCCTGACCTCCAATATAGTCGTATTTGGAGGTGAGGACTTTGGGGGGTAATTAGGTTTAGATGAAGTCATGAGAGTGCGGCCCCCAGTGATGGGATTAGGGCCCTTAAATGGAGGGGATGAGACCATGAGACCAGAGCTTGCTCTAGTTCCTCGCCCCATGTGAGCGCACAGTGGGAAGGTGGCTGCAAACCAGGAAGATGACTCTCACCAGGAGCTGAGTCTGCGGGCCCCTTGATCTTGGGCTTCCAGAGTCCAGAACTGTGAGACATAAAGTTCTATGTCTACACGGTCCATGGTATTTTGTTGTAGCAGCCCCAGCTGACTCAGACATACACATAAGGTGATAGCTATTTCAGCACTATAGCTCAGATTGGCTTAGTGAAGGCCTGTCTCCTAATCCACTATTTTTAATATCAGGCTTCATTAAATCTGTCCAAAAATGTAAAGAACTTACTTGGGTGAGCAGAGAGCCAGGAAGTAGGAATACAAAGATGAACATTAAACCATTTCTGCCTTTGTAGGGCTCGCTGTCTAGCCAGAGGAAAGCCGTGGGGAGCCCTTATTGTGACATGGCGTGATAAGAAGGGTGATGGAAGTGTGTACTGAGCACTGCGGAAAGGAAGACATTAACTTATAGGGTGGAGAACGTGGAGAGGAAATGGGGACAGCTTTGCAGAAGAGCAGACATTTGCACTCGGCCTTGAAGGATGACTCTGAATTCTGATACCCAAAAACTGACTTCTGGATAAACGTGGTGGATTGACCTGTGCGTCCTCTGGCATCCCCATTCAAACGACCATGTAGTGATTTAAAATTTGTTTTTAAATTATAAATGATAAGTCGGGGGTAGAGATAAACGGGATCTGTTCTGGAGGCCAAATAACATCTGAATGAGTGAGAACTGACCAAACCGAGCAGGTACACCGGAAAGAGAAGCAGGCAGGGAGGGAGGAGGGGAGGAGGCTCCTGCTCTGTGCCGCAGCCCCCAGAACGGCTCAGTATCTGGAGCTACAGGAATCTCTGAAGATGCAGGTGCAGCTGGGGTGGGAGGACAGGTTGAAGGTCTGCAGGAGAAGTGGTTAGGGCTCCTCCCCATCCCATCCCATTAGGCAACTACTCCTCCTCTGCCCTAGCAAAAGACCATATGGTTACTCCGTGACGGTATCCCGACTACCCATGCTCTGGACTCAGGGGCGCCAGGCACAGTTAAGGCTGGAGGCTAAAAGGCCTGGAGCAGTTAAGGCAGTTAAGGCTGCTGGATGGTGAGACACCCTAGAACCTTCCCCAGTCCTGTTCAGGATGTCGGCAGCCACGCTCACACACCCCAAGCAGAATATTAGAGTTCTCTTCTGGGGAAACTGAGCAGCCCAGGAGAAAAGGCCTTCTGATACTAACAACTGTGTGTCCACTGAAAACTACATCCCAATTTCCTTGCCGTGAAGCCCCTTGTCCACAAGCCCTGCCATGCACACAGAAATTTCAACCACTTTATCTGAAATTTACTCTTTAAATATGAACGAGCAGACAAAGATCATGAGACTTAGGGGAAAGTTTCCAACATTAAAGACAGCTTAATAACAGACAAACAACAAAGACAAATAGAAAAAGGAATTTGGAGGAAATAAATACTTTGAGAAGCAGTAAAACCTCCCCCCTCCCCCCTCCCCTGCCCCCAACAGATAACTTTGAAAAGACTAGAGAAGACACAGGCAGACGTTCTTGCAGAGGATATTCCTTTTCAAATAAAAGGCAAAGTCTTACTAGGAAAGATATCTTTGTCCTTCCCTATTCTTTTTCTCCTGGAATGTGGACATAATACCTGGAGGTAAGAGCCACCATCTTGTGATGATGTGGATGGATGCCATAAGCAACGATGGTGGAATAGAAAGGTGGAAAGAGCCTGGTTTCTGAAGACCCTGTTGAGACTCATGCCTGCCTTAGAATGTCTATGTGTGGGCTTCTTTTTATATGAAATAAACTCCTTGCTTGTTTAAGTCACTCTAGAAAGGTTTTCTATTACTTGCAAATGAACATAATCTTAACCCATTTAACAAACATTGTTAAAAAATATAGAAAAGACACAGTTAAAAGAGTTGAAAGTAGGGACACCTGGATTAAGCATCTGTCTTCGGCTCAGGTCATGATCCCAGGGTCCTGGGATCGAGTCCTGCATCGGGCTCCTTGCTCAGCGGGGAGTCTGCTTCTCCCTCTGCCTGCCGCTTCCCCTGCTTGTGCTCTCTTTCTCTCTCTGGCAAATAAATACATTAAAAAAAAAATAAGGAGGGCGCCTGGGTGGCTCAGTCGTTAAGCGTCTGCCTTCAGCTCAGGTCATGATCCCAGGGTCCTGGGATCGAGTCCCACATCGGGCTCCCTGCTCCGCCCGCTTCTCCCTCTCCCACTCCCTCTGCTTGTGTTCCCTCTCTTGCTGATAAATAAAAATCTTGAAAAATAAATAAAATCTTTTTTAAAAAAAGGAAAAAAAAGAGTTGAAAATAGTTAAGACTTGGGGGTCGGGAAAAATGAGGCAGGGAACGACTGTCTTTCTTTACTATAAGATTTATAGAACTATTTTTTAATTACTTATATAATTTTGAGAAAAATACCAATTAACTAAAAGTGAGGGAAAAATTGGTGGGGGATGGGTCAAGCACTCTGGGCTAATGGCACGAACACAGGTGTGAGCAGGAGCCCACCGGAGGGGGGACATGGTGGGGGAGGAGCAAGAGGTGGGACTAGGAGGAGGGAAGCTGGAGACAGATTGTGGGAAGCTGGATGTGCCAAGTGATAGAACTTGGACCAAAAAAAAAAGAAAAAAAGTCCCCTAAGTGTTGATGAGTTCAATCACAGCCCAGTGGCCTGGACAAGCCAATGTATCTGAGTCATTTCTCTAGAAGGGAACTACTTGTCCTCTTGGGAGACAAGAGGTACAAAAAATTCAATGTAATCACTCAGTTCTAAGGGGATGACTGGTCCCAGTTTGATGATATTCATGATTATTTCGGTCTGATCTTTTTCTCCTGGTTTAGAAAAGAGACAGATAAGAATTTGGTGATAATTAAACATGAACAAAAACACTGTGAAATTTTACTGTTAAATTTGAGTGCCAAGGAGCAAATGCTATGGGTTCTGTATTATTAGTTGTGTGACATTGAGTTCCTTAACTTCTCTGTGATTCAGTTTCTTCATCTGTAAAGTGTTATTTTATTTTTTAAAAGATTTTATTTATTTACTTGAGAGAGAGAGAGACAGAGACAGAGACAGAGCATGAGCAGGGGGGAGGAGGCAGAGGGAGAAGCAGACTCCCTGTGAGCAGGGAGACTGTTGCGGGGCTGGATCCGAGGATCCTGAGATCATGACCTGAGCCGAAGGCAGATGCTTAACCGACTGAGCCACCTAGGCGCCCCTGTAAAGTGTTATAATAATACCTACTTGTTAGAGTTTAGGGGATTTGATGAGTTAATGAATGTAAAGTCCTTAGAACAGTGCCTGGAATATAGTAAGTGCTATTTACAAGTTTGGTATCGTTACCGACATTGCCAGGATGTCCGGTGGTAAGAATACCCGAAAAAAGATCTATTGAGGATCCAAACGATATGGCGAATAACAACATTTTACTATGTAACAAAGGAACGAAAACTGTCTTACTTATCTTGACAAGTAGAAGAAAAGCATCTGAAAGCAAGCAAAGGAGAGTTAATAAAGCACAATTGGGTGAATTAACTGTAAACAATAGTCCAATCAAATGTGCCATTATAAAAACTGGCTTTGGGCAAAAGTTTCCTGGAGGGAAAGGGAGGAAGGATGAGTATGCAGGTCAGTGGGGAGTAGAAGAGGCCACATGGATAAATCGAGTCTGTTCTTATGGAACATGAGTCAACAGTATGATCTAAATACTGTAGAAGGCAAAACCACATTTGGGCACATAACAGACCTAGACTGAATAGTTCATTATTCCATTTCCTTTGGCTCTTGCTGGGCTCTATTCAGACTTTTTTTGGGTTACATTTCCAAAAATCACATGTTGCAGAATATGGAGAGGAGTGCAGGGATCCTGACCTGGAGTTTGGAAAGCAAGAAGGATACAGAAAACACCCCGACTAGCTTGATGCTGACAGTGACTTGTGGCTCATGTTTGGAAGAGAGAGGCTTCATTAGTCTGATTGGTCAAGGACAGCGGGATCAGAAATCACAGTGTGACACTGCCAGCAAGGGGAATAGACACTGAATGCAGGAGTAATCTAATTACAAGAACCGATCGGTCAGTGGGACCAGCGGCCACCAGAGGCTAGGAATGATGCTGGGAACATGATGGGTTCAGACAACTGCCTTTCAGGCCGACTTTGGCATAAACATGAGCTCAAAGTTGCACTGAGAAAATACTGTGGTCAGCTAAGCCCAGTGAGAGCTGCCTGTCCTCAGGACTTGGGGTGCAGGCTCCACCGATCCCCACACCCAGGACTGCTAGAGGAGCACAGAACCTTGTCGATGATTAAAACCACACTCAGGAGTGGGTCATTCAGGCACCCTGTGGCCGCCTTATACTGACTGATGGTGTTAATTCTATTTCCCACTATTTCTCGAGTGTGCAGTGGAAACCCCTTTCGCTTTTCATCTATATCCATTCCATTTCGTGAGAAAACCGTAGAGGGGTCCATGATCTTCACAAACTGGGAGGAAACAGGAAAAATTGGTGTAGGGCTGGAAACGAAATTGATGTGATCTGTGAAAGGGGCTTGTCACACTGGCCAGTGTCCGTCCTGAAGTAAGATCAAATGTCACTTCTCAGAGGTGTCTTCCTGGACCTCTCTTACTGCAGTAGACTCTCCCCCTGGGGTCACACCATCAGGTAATCCCACAATGATCTATTTGCTTACTTATTCATCAGCTGCTTCCCTCACTGCATATGAGATCTCTTGAGCTGGGTTATGGTCCTGTGTTTTTAAAAGTTGTGTCACCCAATACCTAGAAGTGTGCCTGGCATTTAGTAACTGTGTTTTTTGTGTTTGTTTGTTTTTTTCCCTTTGGATGAACAAAAGGGAACTCTCTAGGGTAAGATTGTTTTGAATAGCTAACCACTTGCACCCTTTTTATTAGGAAACATGTCTCTCTGAATCTCTGTGAAGTAAGGGTGCAGGTGGGAAAGGTCCAGGATAAACATATATAGGATTATTGTTTAGGATTTTCTAGTTTTGGCAGCGTTCATCAAAATGTCTGGAAAAGCCTAGATTTTTTAAAAAATTTTTTATTGTTATGTTAATCACCATATATTACATCATTAGTTTTTGATGTAGTGTTCCATGATTCATTGTTTGTGCATAACACCCAGTGCTCCATGCAGAATGTGCCCTCTTTAATACCCATCACCAGGCTAACCCATCCCCCTACCCTCCTCCCCTCTAGAACCCTCAGTTTGTTTTTCAGAGTCCATCATCTCTCCAGGTTCGTCTCCCCCTCTGACTTACTCCCCTTCATTCTTCCTCTCCTGCTATCTTCTTCTTTTTCTTTTTTCTTAAAATATGTTGCGTTATTTGTTTCAGAAGTACAGATCTGTGATTCAACAGTCTTGCACAATTCACAGCGCTCACCATAGCACATACCCTCCCCAATGTCTATCACCCAGCCACCCCATCCCTCCCACCCCCAACCACTCCAGTAACACTCAGTTTGTTCCTGAGATTAAGAATTCCTCATATCAGTGAGGTCATATGATACATGTCTTTCTCTGATTGACTTATTTCGCTCAGCATAACACCCTCCAGTTCCATCCACGTCGTTGCAAATGGCAAGATCTCATTCCTTTTGATGGCTGCCTAATATTCCATTGTGTATATATATTCCACATTTTCTTTATCCATTCATCTGTCGATGGACATCTTGGCTCTTTCCACAGTTTTGGAAAAGCCTAGATTTTTGCTTTGAGTGGCCAAAGATGCATCTAAAAGATCAAGAACATCTGATGAGATGAAAAGTTGATCAGAACAAACGGGTAAAGTTAGAGACACAAATGTTCTCCCCTAGAACTCGCAGACTCATAGGGTGGTCAGATGCCGGTTTGCCTGGGACCGTCCTGGCTGACACCTGCTGTCCTGGCATGATTCTGATAATGCTCCTTTACAACCTCAGAAGTTTATTGATTTTGATGATCAATTATATGGTCATGTGGTCTGTAAGATTCAGTCCACTCCCTTTCAGCACCCAGTCATACTGGGGCCACAGTGTACATTGAGCTGAGGATGGAATAGCAAGAAGGGATAAGAAGTTGTAATTTTGGAGTTCATAGATTATTAAGAGAATCTCAAATATTTCTTGACACTCTTATTTGATTCTCCTAAGGTTCTGCCAGTCAAATGGTCTTTCTGTTTTTAAGTTTTCATGACTTCAGGATATTTGGGGCCCATAGCTCTGGGGGCGATGGGTCTTGCTACATGATCTTTTTTTTTTATTTAATTTTTTAATTTTTTATTTGACAGAGAGAGAGAGTATAAGCAGCGGGAGTGGCAAGCAGAGGCAGAGGGAGAGGGAGAAGCAGGCCCCCCGTTCAGTAGGGAGCCCAATGCGGGGCTCGATCCCAGGACCCTGAGACCATGACCGAGCCGAAGGCAGATGCTTAACCGACTGAGCCACCCAGGCGCCCCTTTGCTGCATGATCTTAAGACAGCATGGCTGGGTAGCAATGTCTTCCCAGGAGAAAAAGTTGGTCAGTTTTATTCATAGCTCTGGTCTCTCTAGGGCTCAGCAAACGCTGCTCTTGGGAAGATCTCTGGGGAATGGAGAGATAGGTACTAATAATTATGCCTCCCTTTAACCTAAAAGACTTTATCTTGGTCCAAGCTCCTAAACATCCATTTCTTTCTTCCTGAAGGGGGCTTTGGATCCTTAAAGCAAAGAGACACCAGAAAGAGGGCTCAGGCCATACCCAGATATGTCAGAATACTTGGGTCTATAGACAGGGGTCTCATAAAGTCTGCTAACACAGGCAACTGTCTGACATATTTGAC